AATGGTCTAATAATGTTACGATAAAACAAACTTTTAAGTGTTAAAATTATTATATTATAGAACATCTTTTATTACGTGTACCTGTCACTAGATCCTTTTGCTTGTTATAATATTTCTAGTAGAAACTTTCGTTTGTTTCAATTCGCCCCAATTCAGAATTTCCTGCCGACTCATTTTCAACCGAAAACTCGACCTTGCTCGACGAGGATCATCTTTCGACGTCGGTCGTGTAAATTTATCCAGTCGGGTAACGTGTCTCGAATACTTCGGCAGTTTTAGTGCTCGGGTCATTTGCCTGTACGGAGAGGCGTACTGTGCGCCTACTATGCTCGCGAAGGATAGTGAGAAGACGACCAAAACCGACGTAGAATGGGGTAGAAAGCGAGGAGACTGCCGCGAGAATTTTCGCGTAAGCAGTTTTGCAGTTCGGCCTCTGTCGAGTGAAACGACTTTAATTAGGCAACTCGCTAACGACCCGACGGCAACATAAATCACCGTTAAACCTCCCCGGCAACGCCGAGAACTATCCTCGTCTCCGTTATTTCTCTTTCTCTCTCTTTCGCTCTCGCGTTCGCCACGACATCACTCCCCGCGCCATTTCTACCCACGACGGTCCATCATCATCTATGGTGGACGAAACACTCTGTTATTTAATCTGGATTACATCCAGAGGTGTAAATGACTCCTTTGGGAAGATGTAATAATTCGATTTTTTCCGAAATAAAAATCTGGCCACCGCTTTTTGTCATATATTTAATTTTTCAAAAATATGGATATAAAGTTTTAAATATTGAAATCCAATAGTCTAATAAATGAAAGAAAATTAAGTAGTAATAAAATATTATTATACAAAGTATTTTGCAGTAGATCTCTGAGAAAATACTCTACGTTATTTCTTTTCTCTACAATTGAGACAAATAATTTCTCCGCACGTAATGCACTTTGTCCTAAGAATTAAATGTCAGGGACTTCTTAAATCGATCATAGTGCAACGCTCCCACGCACGTATGCATGCTCGTATTGCGTGTGGGACGAAATTATATCATATCAAGGCTATCGCTATTTGACCTTTAAATTCCTTTTTCAGAATTATATTTTTTAGAACTTCTTTAATGAATACAAATAGCCACGGTTGTTATTTCTGCTCGAGAGTTATATAATCGCGAATTAATTTTTGCAGTAAAATAATATTTTTTTCAATTGTTACCAATGTCATATATTTACAATTATGATTGATTTCATTACTCGCAATCGCATTATCCTGATTGTACTTGCAGATTGCTATTACTTTTGCGTAATTTTTAGTGCATAATACTCAATACTGTTTATATATGCCGTGTATATAGCTTAAATATCTCAGATAAATAGGGTTTGGTTAATTTGACCATAAAACTTGATATAAACGTTTACAGAAACCTCTTTTTACAGAGCAGAAATTTATGAGATAAAGAAATTTTTTCCTCAACACCTCTATACACTATTACGCTATTCGTATTTTGTTTTTTTTTCTACGCGCGTGCATGTACAAAGTATAAAATTACATCTCCGCAATAAACTTCCGAGATGAAAAATGAGTTTATCTTTATTAAGCGCCAGAATTATAACTGCGAAACTCATATGTGCCTTAGGATATATAATTAACGGTTAGATTATTTTTTCCCCTTTATTATTTTTCCTTCTTTTATACCAGCCACCTTTTATTTTCTTGTTTTCGTACCTTTTTTGGATTCGCCGATCAGTGACAAGCATTTTCTTTTATCTCTCTTATCTGCACCTCGAAAATACGCGAACTGAGAGTAAACACAAAAAAAATCCGTAGATCTCCGCACGACTTCTAATCTTATTGGCTTCTCCTTGCGAATGCGTTCCACATCTACATCGCCGAAAGTTGGTCGCATATCCTGGGGCCCGGAAGCTCCCAGATCGCTCATCGCATCTTCAATTCCGACGTGATGCATATTTCCATACACATTTGAGCGTAAACAGTGATTTTGCCAACGAAGGAAGGAGGATCGTCTTCTTATCAAGCTTCCGCATGTATTTTGCAAATATTCGATGGATTTAGCAAGGATATTTTCCCTTCAAAAAGAAAAAGATTGATAAATAAAGCGAATTGTTCCAAATTTTTTGCATATTGAGAAATCCGCCGTTGCATCTGTTTGCATATTTGCAATATTGCGCACATCGATTTTGTGTCTGTTATTAATCGCGCTCGCGCAGGTGTATTTAATAACGTAATGTTGTTGACGTAAGAGAGATTCGTCAAGCTTACGATATTGATAAAATTACTCGGCAAAACAATCTCATACCTTTGGAATTGCCGTACGACACTGATCTTCGCTATTAATCGTTAACATTATTTTAAATAATATTTTCTCAATGACATATTCACCTTTTACATCATTCTTTATGTGACTATGTAATAGTAATATTACAATGATCTAATAACAATTTTATCGAAATTTGCTCTCTATCCGTTTATATACACAGGCAAGAATGTCCGTATTTCGGATAATCTTGCTGAAACTATGTCGTAAGTTGGTCAGGCGCTACGATCGATCGCTTTAATTTTATTATCTCACTTCGTGACTACGCCGTACCTTCATCTCTTCTCTTTCCGCCCGCTTCTCTTTCTTTCGCTCACTCCCGCCCGCTCGAAGCTACTTCTGCACTTTTCGTGCTCTGTGCTCTCCTCCTTTTTTTCACGATTCCTTCGAGATCGTGCTCGCAATTTTTTTTCAATCTTTTATGCAACACTAAAGTTAGGTACATTATATTGGAGAAGCTGCAAAATTCTTGGATGAGAAAAATCAGCTTTTACTTGTGTCTTAATTGCAATATCGATCGCATTAAGAAGTACGTACTTTTCCTTTATGAATACATAATTCCTGGTTATCTCGTAGAACATTATCAAATTTTTCGAAATAGTTTAAGAAGTCGTTAAATAAAAGTATATTACATAACAATTACGAATAATTGTCATATTTTTAATAATTTTTCTCTTTGATAATGATATAATTAAAATTTCTGTACAAATGCCATTCCCTTTGTTCCACAATTGTTAATATTATCTTTTACCGCACGTCATACAGCAACGGATAGCATCTATTCGCACGCAACACGGCGCACGGGCGGTGCATGGTGAATTTTATATCACGCGTGATTTACCACGCCGCGGCGGTGGAAATCTCAATACGCGGATTTTACACGGTGGAAAGAGAGATCTTTCTCCGATTTTTCGTTACCAGCACATCCTCCATGCGCGTGTCGCTCGCAAAAATTCAGGCCAGGCCGATAGATATCCCCTGTCACGTATCGACGTACGCCCAGAGATGATACGGAGGAGATGCAACGAGAGTACGAAACCTCGAGACGCTGGCGACGGCGGCACTCGCTGTTGAGAGGAGCACATCTTCTCTACATCGTGCGTGGATATATTCGCGTGCTCGCGCGCACGATATGCGGATGTAATGTAAACCCCCACAAATATCTGCGTACATCCATGGACTTATTCCCGTGCTACGGCAGGAGAAGGCTGGTGGTAATGGAATTTGACATTAGGATCGACGCCGGAGGTGCACGGCTCGTATACAGGAAGAGGGAATACAGGCAACCATAAGAGAGGGCGAACGAGACTTTTATCGCGAATACCGACGGCCGTCGAAAATTCCCACCGCGAGTGTTCGACACTGACTGCAAGATAACATCGCACGTGTCTGCATTTATGTGGAAAAAAGATTAAAAAATTATATAAAAAAGTACAATATTTATAAAATTTATAAATTTAATAAATTTAATTAATAAAAGAATTATGAAATTATTAGAATATTAATTGCTTAAATACAAATAAATTAATATATAGAAGTTAACAGAACAAAGTATATTAGTAATAAATTGTTAATTTTGCGAGTTTTAATATTTTATTTTGATTTTATGTGATAAAAAGAAGATGGAAGTTACTATATAATATAATGATTGTAAACAGAAATTTCAGAATTTGATATTGGCGAATACTAATTAAATTCTCCGAAGCGGACAGAAAGCATTATTCCTTTTGCATTAACATTTAGCATAAATCTAGCGCATATCGTACACAAAACACAATATGTGAAAGCATTATATTAACAAATATTGAAATTTATATATAACGCGTAATAGATATTAATTTTTTTCCGAAGAAATATTTGTAAATGTCATTATATGTTATTCGTGATATAAAATATTCATTTTATTTAACACGTTTGTATACTGTAATAATGGAAAATTGCAAATTTCTCTCTCGTGAAAGTTTGATATTATCTGCGAAATATAGTGATCGCGAAGGAATATCTTTATCTGCTTCAACACCTCGAACGCTCGAGGCAAGACTATTATCGATGCAATACGCGGTTGTTAATGAATTAAACTCGTAATTTGCGTCACGATCAATTACGAATTACCGAATCGGACCGTAATTCGCCTGTTAATTGCATTGTAAATTATGGATTCTTCGCTATAAGCATGTGCACACGAGTGCGAATGTATGCGTAATTAATCAATTAAGGGTTTGTCGCCCGCGCGGAAGATTACGTGCTCCTGGCAATTTCATTTAGGGTCGGAGTCATTTGTAACGACCCGTTACGTGCGTTGCGCAGGGCTCTCTATGACCCTGACATTTTTAGTGCAAATTGCGATTTGAATATTTCCAGTGTGCAGTCGCCATCGGTTTTGTAAATTGAACTGTTGTTTACAACGTGACCGAAAAGGCTATTGCACTGAAAATATCAATCGTTATCGAATGAAACAACGTTTCAATTGATTCTATGCAATAAACTAAACAAATTAATTTCTCTTTTGCTTTTGCTCATTTTAACTTTTATTTATTATAAGATCTCTCTTTTGCCAAAATATATTTTTATTTTTTTCTGGCTAATTTCGGAATATTTCGAATTATATGGCCTTTCATGTTCTATTTTCTTAATTAAACTTATTATTACTGATATAATTTATTTCATTTTTAGATCATCCAAACGTCAAGTGTTATCTGGGTCATGGCGGGCTTCTTGGACTATCAGAGAGTGTTTACTCGGGTCTGCCAATGGTCCTAGTGCCGATGTATGGCGATCAGTTTCATAACGCGGCCGCTGTGAAAACCAGAGGTTCCGCAGAGGTACTCGCATTCAATAATTTGAATGAGGAATCATTAAGACACGCTCTCGACGAAGTGTTCAACAATACTCGGTATGTAGTCTCTCTATTCCTTTTAATTTTGATATAAAACATTTGTTTTTTTTCCTCTCTTTTAAAAATATATTTATATTTGTTTTCTTTAAAAAAAAATTTTTTTTCGCAAAATACAAAAATTGTATTACACAAGTTAAACTCGCGCCACAATATTGATCCATTGATAAATGGATACAGTTGGTACAGTTGATAAATCTCTCAAACGACAAATATGGGAATAGAACCGTCGCAAATTACATAGTTTGCAATAATCATTAAATTAGGAATAAATCCGAAATTAACTCTACCGCCAGATACACTCGATAAACGTGTCGATAGTTTCTCTCGAATTTCACCGATGCATTTCCGATGCAGAGCCACTTATTACAGCAAGCTCCCATGCCACCGATATATCAGTCACGTTAAAATTTCTCGCGTGAGATGTCATAGCGCGGAAGGAAAGCCGGGGGATGGAAAAGGATCACAGCGAAAAAAGGAGAATCGCATAATCTGTCCGGATATTCGCTCCGTTGAATATCTCACGAGCCGTCCGGACGCACCGGATATCCGGCAAGTGCATCGTCGTTGCAATGCGCAGCCGAGGCGCCTCGTTAATCCGTAGCGCGGTTCACTGGTGTCGCAACCCCCTTCAGTCCCCTACTCCCTCTCTTCCTTCAGCCCTCATCCTGCGCTAGTATTCTTTTCTTTCTATTTTCGACACTTTCATATCACTATCTCACTTGTTCTCCCAGAGGATAGGCCAACGGAGGGAGGAAAAAGCTTGAGCGGGGCATGGTGTATCTAGCACTCTTAGCGTAGCCTTCCGGCAAGCAATTTTTTTTTCCACCCTTTCGGCACACCGTCGCTCACCTCGTCGCAAATTCGAGGCACGAATCGCGGAAAGAGCGGACGTGTTCCCCGGATAGTTCTCTCTGATCTCCCCCTCTAATTCCCCTTACCTTCGTCAATTGCAAACGCGCGCGCGAGCGAGCGGACGAATTCAGCTGGCTCGTGCGCTCGCGCGCATATCCGGCGCGGGAAATCGCATGGGAAATTCCGCGAACGTTAAATGTTTCACGGGAGCACCGAATCAACGGCGTGCCGCTACCGATGACGACGAGGAGGCGGGCTGAAATGAAATTTTACATTATTCAACGCTGCTCTCCCCTCTTGCCGTTTCTATCTCACCCTCTCTTTTGGCCAAGTACGGTCAACTTGTTAACCGCACGCGTCCTCATTACCGAGTCCGCCGCGAAATATAATCATTCTCCGCGGTATACTCATGGGAGGAAGGGGTGGGGATCGAAGGGGGTGTCGAAAGCGTGGGAAATCGGCGAACAGAGGGCTGGCGTCCCGTGGGATAAGACGAAAGAACTGTACCTTCGTTTATCTAACGTAATCGACTTCTTCATACAGAATTCTCACGACGGTGGCGTTTTTTTTTGGTTCGTACGTGCGGGAATTTTCTAAAGCCCGACTTGAAGTGACGTTTGAATTAAGATACCGAAAAAAGTGTAATCGTTCGCGAATTTTTTTTTTTATTCTTAACATCTTAATTAATTCAGTTAAATTAATTTAGTTTTTATTATTATTTATAAAACCCGTGAAATTTTTCACGCTTTGATATTTTAATTAAGGAAAAAATGGGCATTTTATTTAATTACCAGTTCTATTTAATGAATATCTTTATGCATGAAATTTCACGCTGCTTTATTTCGTTTTCATGTTCCACCCAACATTTCTAAATTTAAAAACGCAATATCTCGCTCGTGTGCGCAGGCGACATTCTGTTGCATATGTCGCAATGTACAAAATCAGATGTGAGAAGAAAATTTATGAATTTTTAAAAGCTTCGCGCCTATATAGTTGCATTTTTTGTGAAACTTTTACCCGCTGCGCGTCTGCCTTCGTGACGCTAATAGATTTGATCTGTGTCCTCATAATTGCCGGTAACACCGACTTCTTTTAAGGTACATTAAGACTTATGTTAGCTTTGCATCTAGCGCACGCATGCGATTTCTGCCTTCTCTCTGGAACACGAGATTTGCATTCGCCGAGCGCACTTAAAAATGACAGCGTTATAATTATAGTGCATGCACAGAATGTTTAAAGCGATTTCAACTTGTAACAACAGCGGGAAACCTTAAGTAGCTACGGTTTTAAACTACTTATTGGATTGTTCTATTTATTTTATATTATGAAAAACAAGAAAATATTAAAAAATAGACCGTCAACAAATTCATTATTTGGAGAATGTTGTTAAACGTAGTTAACGTTTTCATTTAATGAGAATTACGTGTGATATGGGTTTCGCAGAAATTCATTGCTAATTGCTTAAGGGTTAAAGAGGAAGAGAAAAACTAAACCCTAATGAAAACTTAACCCTGACAAAAACGTATCATAAGTTGTGGCGTAGTTGATAAAGCGAGAATCAAAAGTTATCCGCAGTCATGTAATCTTCATTCTGTCTAATTTGAAGAGCTGCTGTATGATTAAACGTTTCTCAATACATTGATTACATAGAATAAAGTAATTGCAAAAAATGCTTACTATACGCATCTAATAAGCGTGACTTGACCATACCATTAATTGCCCTATTTCCGGCACGGTTTGCCAGCGTTTTTTTGTTTTTTTACAATACTGTCGTGAATCTTCATTGTTGTGAAAATGAAATTGTTATGAAATATAGCACGTTTAATTTAGTGAAACGAGACAATGTACATCATGCAAAAATTTGCGAGTCGTTAATTACCATAGAAATGGCTAGTAATCATGAATTTATGAAGAAATTACGTCGTTCAACACGCTTGCAACGCGTTTATGCAAAAATTAATTTCAAAGCACTTGTTTTTCACTGACAATTATCAATAAAATATAATTATCAACGTTATATATATGTTTTTTATCGTAACTATATAAAAGTAATTAAAATATATTATCATACCATATAAACTTGTCAGGATTACAAATCTTTATTTCCATAATTTACCGACAGCACTGCAGAGGAATTTATCAGAGTCGTTATACGTTATGATCCGAAATGTGCAGACGCAATAACAATTGCCGTCATGATAATAAAACTCGCTTGATATGTCGCACGTCGGCAGCACAGATACGCAAATCATTTTTCGCGCGCGATACGCCACGCTGGCCGGCGTGTCTGTATACACGCGCGAATAATCCGGTCGAGCGAGATAAAGCAGGCTTAATAAATCAGAGCGGATATGAAACTGTTGCGCCCGACTGCTCGTTTTCGCGTCGTACGACACTCCTTAACGTCGGTGTAATCACGATGTCGCCGGATTTACGGGCTGGCGCCTTGGACCTTTAGCTAAGGATACGCTAAAGTTAGGCGATATACGCGCGATTCTAGTTTCATCATAATACAGTCCGCAGACACTAATTTATCTATGAGTATCAGGTGTATTCGGTTTCTAGACGATCCTCTTTTTCTATTCGAATTTGTTTCAGAAAGGCAAAATTATAATAAATTGTATTCTAAAGATGAAGCAACACAGAAATGTCCACAGATGCAAAATATTAGGCATAAATTAAAAATTATGAATGACTTTTAAATAATTTTCAAATTAATTTTATATTGATAATGTCAATTAATCCATATAACTAATTATTTGGATTTAACAATTAAATATTTGGTAAATATTCGAACCATTTAACCAGATAATAAGATTTAATAAGATTTAATAATTTTATTTAATTCAATTTAATCAGGTAATTCAGGTAATTATTGTTAAAAAGTTCTGATTGTTTTTGCATGCAAATTATTTCTTTTGCTTTCTATAAAAAAATTTAATTTTTTAAATATTTAACTTGAAAACTAATATGGATTCTCTTGTTTGTAATGCTCGCGAGGAATGCGGTTTCTACTCTGTGCGACGATTCTAACCGGATATACGTTTCAGTGTTTCACATGCCGACAAAGCGAGCATGATTATTGAAATGGATCAGATTTGCATCATGTCATTGAATGCACTGTGGCGAGTTCATATTGTTTTAGAAAATACGTTGCAATTATTCGAATGCGATATTATATGAGCGGAGAGAATACCGAATTATCGAATGGTTTGAAAGCGCTGCTAATATCATTTTGCCGATGACGCTGCCGTCATACGGGTCCATAACGCGGTAATTACTGCGTGTTGCAGATTTATAAGCACGGGATGCGTATCATGTTAAAATTGCCATACGCAGTCCGAATCGCCTCTCTCTGCAAATCATATCTAACCTTTTTTGCAGCTAATAAAAATATTTATTTTAATGAATACCGCAAGAATGTATATGTGCGCTTTTCTCTATTTACAAGTTCGTTAATTAAATAAAAACACAATTTTCTGCAAAGTATAGACAGAATAAAATTAATTTGATCATACTATTAAATTTTGAAAACAAAAGATTTTATTATAAACATAATGGATGAATGACTTGCACAAAGAGACGATAGTCGCATAGTTTTGAAATTTAAATGTAAAATATAGCTATTATGGAATAAATACAAGCGACAGTAGCTAACTGAAAATATAGGTCGTTCTGTGAAAAGGTGAGTGTGGTTACAATTTTACGTCGAATTACATTCGCCCCGCGTGGCGGTTAAAATAATAGAAAGCCGCGTGCATAATGCAGTCCTGATAATGAACGGAATTAATTAACGGTAGAACGTTCAACAAAAAGCAAATGTTTGATGGGAGAGCGCAATTCGTGGATTGAAATATTTACATTTTCCGCCAACTTACAAAATAGTCCGTCAAACCGCTGTAATAATGAGCGGAGTAAATCGACAGAGCGCAATTTTCCCCGATTTGTTTAAACATGCGGGCAATTCGCGGCGAAGTTCGAGGTTAATTATCGTTGCGGTAGAATCATAGTACTCATGATGATTCCCTCAGTTGGTATGGCATTTCTAATTTACCGCATAATAAAATATGTTAGAGATATAGTGCTTGATTTAAGAGTACTAAAATATATTACAAAGCGCGCGCTACTCGAGCACAATTTATTCT